AGGGGTAGATGTTTTCAGTTTTAGCGCTGTCTCGTTTAACACGTGTGTCAACAAGTTGTCATCACCTACAACTAGGTGTAGATTGGCATTTAGGCTGATGCGTGTTCATTGTTTAGCAATGTTGAATGTTCTCTTGTGCTTTTCTGGTATACATTCACGCGCACCTTAAGACATGTTCTGGATGCAGTTTAGTCTACGCGTGAATCGTATCTGCCGTTTTCGCAGGTAGTCGGGCACTGCCTGAGGCGATCACTCACTAGCAAACAAAATATATGTTGTTTGGCTGGCTACTGGCATACACACCAGCGGTGAAGGTAATATTTGAAATGTGGGCGCTCGCTGTTTGGCGCTTACAGAGATGTCGGGACAACGCAGCATGATTTGCTTATTTTAAGTATTAGTGCTACCAGTGAACCTTTGTGTCATGCACAGCGCAGCTACTATCGCATGTTCACTGTGTAGGTTTTGTATCCCAGTTTTGATGCATGCACCCAAAAGTGCCCGTCTTACCCCAAATATTCATTCTTTCAACGTACGACTATGTTTGAGCTGTGAGTGCGCTTTTTTGAAGCTCTAGTTATATATCGGTGTACTTTTTCTGCCAAAACTTTGTTCTAGCATACTGGCAGATGTTCAACGACACTTGCTAGCCATGTCTCCGAGAGCATGCTGATGTCTGAGCAGCGATCCCAGAAAGACAAATCAGCCGAAAACCACTAATGCTAAAGCTTTGCTGTTTTCCGACTGGGGCATATGCAAATGAAGCTCGTAGTTGCAAAAACTAACGCCCACATACGCTTAAGACCATTCCTGCCCACTGCATCCGTGTAAGCAGCATCAGAGGCCCCACAGATGTCCATCGCCGTCCACCGGGAGACATCATGTCCGCTAACGTTCATCGCCGATGACGCCAACCCGCCCGGCCGATGCGCACAGCGACGCTGGCCGTTGGCACCACCTGTAGACGCTCCCCGAGGCTTACTGCCGCTCCCTGCCGCTCCCTGGCGCTCCCTGGCGCTTCTTGACGCTGCCTGGCGGGACCAGTGGCTTCCTGGCGCTTCCTTCACTCTCTGACGCTCCCTGGAGTTCTCTGGCGCTTCACGATGGTTCCGGCGTTCCCTCCGCTCCCTCCGCTCCCTGACGCTTCCCTTCGCTCCCTAACGTGGGCCGCCGCGGCCCGCTCCTCCTCCGGCCGGACGGCATTGATCTGGAGCGAGGCCGGCTAGCAGACAATGCTCGCCCGGCACTAGGCGTCGGCCACATCGCGTCAACAGCCAGCCTGGAAATGCGAGGTGGCGGGCACGTCGAGAGCAGTTTTGGTGTGAGGGCTCGGCAAGTGAACAGCCTTACTAGGTCTGGAAAGGTGTCGTTCTCAATATCGTGCACGTGCTCGTGCGCGCCAACTTCGTTGCTCCTCCTCTGGATGTGCGCCGAGCTCGACATTCAACCATCTCCTCTCTCTCTCTCTCTCTCTCTCTCTCTCTCTCTCTCTCTCTCTCTCTCTCCCCCCCCCCCTCCTCTCTTCTCTCTCTCTCTCTCTCTCGCTCTCTCTTCTCTCTCTCTCTCTCTCTCTCTCTCTCTCTCTCTCTCTCTCTCTCTCTCTCTCTCTCTCTCTTCTCCTCTCCTCTCTCTCTATCTCTCGCTCTCTCTCTCTCTCTCTCTCTCTCTCTCTCTCTCTCTCTCTCTCTCTCTGCTCTCTCTCTCTTCTCTCTCTCTCTCTCTCCTCTCTCTCTTCTCTCTCTCTCTCTCTCTCTCTCTCTCTCTCTCTCTCTCTCTCTCTCTCGCTCTCTCTCTCTCTTCTCTCTCTCTCTCTCTCTCTCTCTCTCTCTTCTCTCTCTCTTCTCTCTCTCTCTCTCTCTCTCTCTCTCTCTTCTCTCTCTCCTCCCTCTCTCTCTCTCTCTCTCTCTCTCTCCTCTTCTCTCTCTCTCTCTCTCTCTCTCTCTCTCTCTCCTCTCTCTCTCTTCTCTCTCTCTCCTCTCTCTCTCTCTCTCTCTCTCTCTCTCTCTCTCTCTCTCTCTCTCTCTCTCTCTTCTCTCTCGCTCTCTCTCTCTCTCTACTCTCTCTCTCTCTCTCCTATCTTCTCTTCTCTCTCTTCTCTCTCTCTCTCTCTCTCTCTCTCCTCTCTCTTCCGCTCGAAGGGCGTCAGCCTCGACATCCGCGCTTCGAAATAGTCGTCTGCCATTAACACCCTCCTACCGACTGTGCTCCGAATGTACGTCTCCTCGGTCGGAAGTTTGTGAGGGTGGTGTGCACCCAAACCCCTCCCGCCGCCGTGACACGTTTCGTCGCCCTTCGATGGCATGACGCCCCCCTCCCCAGGCCTCCGTTCGCCGGCACCGCACCTCAGGCCGCGGGTAGATTGGAGCCAGTCTGCGGGCGGTGTGCGACGCCACATTACTGTCGCTGCAACGGCCAGCGAAGCCAGCCGCCGGCGTCAATTAGGCGCCGGCGGCATCGGCGCGGCGGCGGGGCGCGCCAGGCCCCGGCGCCCGCGTGCATGACATTACCATATTGATCCGCGCTGAAAGGGCCCGGACGGCCGCTGGGAAAATGAGCTTCCGTTCGCGGGCCTTCACGCTGGGGACCGAGGGATGACACGGGCACCAGGTTGCGCTCAATTACAAATGCGACGCAAACAAGCGAGCAGCTAATTACGCATGCAGCGGCGAGGAACACGCATCCAATGGAGTCTGTCTGATCCAGCGTGGATGACTGATTCGCCTGCATTTCACGGTTAGCGGTGGCCGCTGTGTTGTTGCTTGTGGCGCCCATGCAGGGCTATCTATCAGCATCGCCGCGGGCCGGTGGTGGAGGAGGGCTCGACGGGAACGTCGCAAATTTCGCGATAAGTCTGCACAGACTCCATGCCGAAAGCAGGTGAAAAATGAAGGCAACGATCATAATATGACGTATCGGAGATAAATCATTATTTGACATGTGCCCTGACTGACCACTGTCGCCTCGTCCCTCACTCTGATTGTGTGAAGACCGTTAAGCTGCCCGTCACATCACACACACATGCCGTCCGTATCATACGGAGCGGAGTACCTGGCTACGAGACTTTTCCTCCCACGACACGATCTGGAAGAACACACCTGCTGACCCGTCTCTCCCTCCCATCCACCGCTGATGACATGTTACCGCCGCTGCACCGCCGCTTACCAATTGATAACGTGGCCCCGATACCCCCTCCCCCCCCTCCTCCCAGCCGTGACGTGGCGTGATAAGATAGGCCGACGGCGGGCGAGCGGTCGACACCGCCGCCCGGCCGAGCGCGGGCTGGGGGGGGGGGGGGGGGCGCCGGCCGGCGAGCTGGGCATGCCCCCGGGCCGCGCATGCCCGCGCGCCGCGCCCATCGGACACGAAGCCACAGTCGGGCGCGAGCAGCAGGTATGCGGTAAATCGGCACTGGCGCGGCAGATGGCTGCGGACGCGCGGTGCTGGCACGTACCGGGGTCGTGTCGGGGCCGCTCGGGGCCCCAGCAGGTTTGACACGCGTCCTGGCAGGCACACGGATGTCTACCTTTCACTTCCTTTCGTTCTCCCTGTGCTCCGATGTATGCCGCATTCGTCAAGCCGGTGCTAGCCTGCCAGCCCATGCCGCATCTGTCATGCCCCTGCCAGCCTGCCAAGCTCCTGTCATGGCCCATATCAAACTAGTTTGATATGGTCAATAGCAGCAAACCTGCCAACCAATACTAGAACTGGAGCCAGCGAGACTGGAACAGAAAATGGACTAGCTGAACTATTCCAGGCCTTTCAGCTCGCTAGAGAACTAGAGCCAGAGCCAGAGTAAGCCAGAGCCGGTCAGACCAGGACCAGAGCCAGAGCCAGATCCAGAGCCAGCTGCCAGCCGGACTAGCCAACAGACCCAAGGCTCGACGACCCGCGTTGACCCGCGGCTGCTAGTTGACCCGCGGCGCCAGCTGACCTACGGCAGCATTGACCCATGTTAGCAGCTGACCCACAGCAGCAGCTGACCCACGGCGCCAGTCGATCCACGGCGTCAGTTGACCCTCGATGCCAGCTGACCCACGGCAGCAGTTGGCCCATGTTAGCAGCTGACCCACGGCAGCAGCTGACCCTCGGCGCCAGCTGACCCACGACAGCAGTTGACCCACGGCAGCAGCTGAACCGCGGCGCTAGCTGACCCGCGGTGGCCCAAGCGGCGCAGCGCAGCCAGTCATGACGCGTCACGAGCGTGACGGGCGGCGCGCGGCCGGGCATCACGTCCGCGAGACGTGACGCGGCCGTCGCGAACGGTACCATCGCCCAGCGTCGCCAGTAAGCTGGGAACAGCTCCCGCTGACTGCGCGTGCAGACGGCAGGGCGCGACGCCGAGGTACGAGCTCCCGGCTGCGGTGATTCAGTTCGACTCCGGCGGTTTCCTATGAGTTCAGAGTTCTTGCGCTGAATTGCCGTCTTGAATACCCCAGGCGTTGAGGGTTACAAGGCGTTATAGAGCTAACATCGGTGTTTTAGTAAGTACTCGACGCCTCAAGCTGTGTTTACGATCGCGAGTACGTGCAGCATGAAACTTAGAGTATTAGCAACATAAGCAACGTTAGTTCTATAGGCATTTTAACCGGGTATACCGAATGTCGATAACTCAGCACAAGAACTCCTGGACAAACAAAAACTGGGCCTGAAGGCCATTACCGGTTATAACAATTCCGAAAGCCCATTTACAGCATTGCTTTAGGATACATTAAATAAGGCTATTTTATTGTGTTCGGCGACGAACCGCCCGCGTGAGACTCCCACATAATAGGCATATCGATGCCTTGTACGGTGACGCCTCTGGAAGATGCCAAACATCCCGCGGCTGCTGTAATGGTGTCGAGAGTAAACCTCCGGGTAAACATTTGCACAGGCGAGTGTTTTCGCAGCAAGACGTACGATAATGTTACACCGCCGCCGTCGCCAGTGTGTTGTTATAATGACGCGAACAGCGGCACATATTTGTGGAAAGAAAACAGCGACCATTGCCAGCCACTCGCGTCCGCAGCAGTTTCCCAGACCCGTCTGGCACTCGTCGACCAGAATCACACGGCTCCCGTTGCCATATTTGGGCAGAGTCTCAGAGCCACCTGAACAGAGTCAGGGCCACCTGAGCAGGGAGAGTCACAGGCTGGGAGGCATCAAACAATCGGAGCTACCGGGCGACCAGCGGGGTTTGCAGAGCCAGCAGTTTGCGGAGACTCCCACGATGAGATCCGACCTCGTTCGCGTCGGAATTGCCATTTCCGATCACCAAATCGCGGCCATATAAATTGCGACGCCTTCGAGGAGTGCAATAAAGCTCCGCAAATGGATTCTGCAGACGAGCGCGAAGCCACTTCATTCCCTGATGTGCCGAACGCCACGGACATGTCAACCGTCTGGTCTGGAGCACTGCTGATAGGCATATCAGTTGATAGTCATATCAGCTGGCATACCAACTGGGACGCAGCGTCAAGGACCGTGTGTTCCGTGTCCCACCGAGTCAACCATTTGTCACTGCGTAGCACCTCCAGTTATTGATTAAACGTTGAGAAGGGAACACATATGTAGTTAGCAAAGGTGCGGAAACAACGACCTTTTGAAATGCATTGAATTAACGGTGTTTTGTAAAGAATGATTTTGTGATTTAGTTTTGATTTCGTTCTTTTATCTATGTGTTTTATTTCGTGAAAACCATCCTAGTGCTACCCAGTACGACGTCAAGCAATAACCTTAATAATAATAATAACGATAGTATCAAACCTAAGTGCATTGCGATCCACCCAAGTGGTTTCCGTATTTGGACTCTCTTGAGAATATTGCGTCATGGTATTCTGCGTGACACGATTATCAGCAGCAGCGTGGTGCGCGGCTTTGAAGGTTATCGTAGTTCTAAAGGCGAGCACAACGGAAAATCATTTAAACTAACGATACCATAGTGCGTACGTGCCGGCTGTCGAAGACCAGCTGTCGAGCCGCCATGCGTAAGGATCGTGAATGTCTGGCAGGGCCGCCTTCACAGCTGCCCGCAGGCTGCGGCGCGTGCAGCATTTCGCAGTGTGAGGGAGAACTGCTCAAAAATATTCACCGAAAACACAGTGTGAAGCACCGCAGGCTAGCGAAGTTTCTCCTGTGGCGTGAGACACCTCATGTTTTTATCTGTCTCTACGTCTGTGTCACGAATGTTTAACTGCCAACATCTTCTTTTTCACGTACATATTTACACGTGTTATAAATTTTGATTAGGAAGAGGACACGTGCCCCGAGGGCTTGCTTTACACGGGTACGTCCCTGCCCCTGCAACCGTGCCTGGCTGCTTCGGAAGTTGACTCCACCATACCGACACCGGCCACCGACAGCCCACTGGTGACGACCGTCACGGGTCGCGCAGGTCACAGCACACCGCCACAGGCGGGCCACGACAGCTGCCACAGTTCAGCCACGGCAGCCGTCACAGGCCGGCCGTGTCTCCCACCGAGGGCGACCGCTGCGGCGTCCCAGACCGCCAGCCTGATGGGTCGTGCACCCTCAGGTCCAGAGGCCTCCGGAGGAGCGGAGGGCGCCCCCTGCCAGGTGCCGAGGCCTCCGGAGGAGCGGAGGGCGCCCCCGCTAGCAGCCTGACGGGTCGTGCGCCCTCAGGTGCCGAGGCCTCCGGAGTAGCGGAGGGCGCCCCCGCGAGGCCCACGACAGCTACTTTCACGGTCGCCGGCCGCCGGACGGAGGCGGCCTTCGAGCCGACGGTTCGTCGACCCCGGGATGGGCGTGCGGGCCCGCCGCTCGCGCTCGGCCAGGGACGGCCGCCGGGACCGCGCGGGGAGTCCCGAAGGGCGGCCGAAGGCTGAGCATGCCGCTCGGGAGGCCACAGATTGGATCGCGCATGGTGTCGGGCTGTAGGACCCGGGAGGTGCTGTACGCTCGCCAGTCACGGGTATATGCGCGGCGAGCGAGATCTCGGGCGGGTCTGACCGTGAACACCACGTGACCCGGCAGATGGGAACAGGGTTGCACCGAACGCATCATGCGGGAAGAGGGATCCCTTGACGGATGCGGACCCCCTGATGAACAGGAACGCGTGACAACAGGAGGCACAAGGCAACGAGTTCGGTAAACGGGGAGGTGACTATGAAAGTATGAAATATAGTATGCAGTAAATGAAAACAAACACCGCAAGAGCGGATGAAATGGACCTAAGCGGACCTTCCCTGTGATGTGTAGTGCAGCCGGCAGTCGCGACCCCTGTGAAAGTTGAGGTGTCAAGTGAGGAGACCGTTACGGGTGGGACGGGAAGTATTGGATCCCGTAACGGATGCGGCTGCGAGTGGGGGAACTCAGGATGGGTGTGACGACTGAAAATGTAACGGGCTCGCACGGAGCCAGTGGAGAGGAACGGCCGCTTGGTGCCTTTTCTTTAGAAGACGGACATACAGACCTGGATCTCTTTGTGAACGATGAGGCGCCACGGAATGAAAACGAATAGATGGATTGATGTTAACGGCAGCGCTGTCAGTCAGACCATGTCCGGCAGTAGCGTGACGGCAAAACGAGAAGGCTACGTTACCAGACGGGGCTACAGCACAGGACGAAATGAGTCGATTTGCCCATAAAAGTCCACTGTGCCCTGGCGGAGACAACCTTTGGATTACTGCAGCTATTTTCTGGAGCCGCGAGTGCTTCAACTGCTTCGTCCCGCCACGCACGCAACAGTGAGCGGCCGGATTCCACAACACATAGCTGCAGTCGCGCTACCACCAGACATGACTGACGACCCCAAAGTCACAGTCCCATGATCCGATCAGCTCAGCGTTCCACAGCTGCGGCGATGGCTGCCGGTGCGGTCCGACCGCTGCGCCGGTCTGCCCAGCCGGGGGCAGCGTGCGGCAGGCCGGCCTGAGCCGCCCGGGCGCCCGGCCCAGCCCGTCCGGGACGCCGCGCGAGGGGCGGCGGCCGCGCGCCGCCACGTTCCCAGCCCGCCGGCCAAGCCCGAGCCCTAATGGCGGGAAAGTGATGATGGCGCGGCGTTCGTGCTCGCTTTCTGCGCCGGTTTCGCCGGCTGGCGAGCACGCCGCGCCGCGGAAGCGTCGTCCCGGAGGCTTTCGACGAAGGCGCAGCGGACTGAGGTGATAAAGAAAATGTCGGCGGTGCAGGCGGTCTCTCGGGAAAGGCTAAATGGAAAGGGCGGATAATGAAAACGGACGGAATGTCGCCTGCAAAACGCGCAGTCGTTTTACCGACCGTGCTGAGTGAGCGTACTAATTAGCTGAATCATTTCCAAGTGAGTCATTGGATCACACGGGGGCTCACGATTCGGGTCAGAATTGTCTTTGATGCAGCCCGCTGAGATTTACGACGTTTTCTCCTGTCAGAGGAGCGGAAAGGATCTTTGCACGGCTTTCAGACGCCTTCGTCCGTCTACCGCTCACGGTGGCGGCTTCCACGTCTCTGCGGCGTGGGCCCCATCTGTATCTTTCCTCTCAGCTCTTCTCTGTATCGTCCGTTATCGTCCGTCCCCTGTATCGTCCGCTGCGCCTCAGTAGCGGCATCCCGCCCGCGTACGACCGTGTGTCGCCGTGGAGAAAGTCCGGCTTTGCCTCGGCCGGCGTTTTCCCAGCCAGGGGAGTGCAGCCTCTCGCTTCACCGCGAGTCGCGGCGCTGGCGTTTAAACGAGGCTGACCTTGCAACATACCGGCTGCAATCGCGCCATCTTGCCGGAAACGGCTCCACCACTCTGCGTCACCGGAAAATCTTGGCGCGATAAACGGGCCCTGCGAGGTTACGTGGCCGGCGCCTGTGACCAGCGCGCCGGGTCACTGCGCAGGTCAGTAGGGGGAGGGGACAAGCGCCAGGGGTCGACCCCGGAGAACAGCCCGCCCAGCGCGACCCCCGCTGCAGCGGCCTGCCGCCGGAACGGGCGGTGTGTGTGTTAAAGCCATGTGCGCCTGCGGTCGAGAGTTCCCTTTTGTCTGTCCGCGGCCGCAGCGCGCCCGCGGCAGGCTGGTGGTGCGGCTCGGTGGCCGCGCCGGCGGCCGAGGCGCCGTCCCAGGAGCGGCTGAGGACGCGACGGCTGACGACACACCACCCGGTGTCTGGAGCGTGGCCGGGCGGCGCGGCCGTCACCGGTCGGCCGCTCCCACAGCGGCGTCGGTCCCGCCCGGGTCACGGCCACAGGCCGGCCGCTTCTGAGCTCACTCCCCGCGCTTGAATTCGCAAAACGGACCGGCGCGTGACCCGAGCGAGGCGGGGGCGGGGCCAGCGACCCCTCCCCCTCCCAACCACACAGCGCCGCCGTCACGCTGCTGTCGGGACTATCGCCGGGCTAATCAGGTGAGTCAGGCTGGCCGGCCGCCGCCACCGTCCGGTCGTGTCACGGGTCCTGACGGCGCGCTCTGTGCCGCCGCCGGTGTTCTGTGTGCGCGCCGCGGCACGCGACCGCGCCACCAGAGCCGAGCCGGGGCGACCTTGTACGTGCGCGGGCATTGGTCCTCCGATGCCGGCCGCTGAAGGCTGTGGCCCACATTTGGCCTCCGACCTGCGCGCCGCGTGCGAACGAGCCTGTTGCGCGGTCCTGCTGGAGAGTCCAGACGCAACTACACGCGTCAAGGCCCGCCACGGTGCGGTGGTGATGAGCTATTCAAAAGTTTGCAAATGAAGGCTCCAGTGTCGGCGTTTGTTTTGATGCCGGCGCTGTTCGTGCGCGAAAATAAAGGTTACGAGAACAAATGTGCAACTGTTTGGGAGGTTTGTGTAGCGCTGCTCCGTCCATCGATCTGTCCCACTTGCGAGGGCCCCCACCAGCCTCGGCCCGACCTGCGCGCCGCCGCGGCCTCAGTTGCGCAACTGCGCGCGCGCCGCCACTCACCTATAAAGTCCTCGAATGTCGCCCAGTACGGGGTGGCCACCGCGACGACGCCGACCGCGAACGCTACCACTCCGAGCAGCGTAGAGCCGGCCGACAGCACAACGTTGCGACCCATCTCCACATGCTGCGCGCGTGCGGTTGGCCAGCCACTGACACCACGCCACCGCCCCTGCCGGCCGCGCGCCACTGCCGCGGTCGTCGCGTTTTGGCTCGGCCGGCGCACCTGGCGGCGCTCGGCGTGCGTATCGCGCGCTCTACCAAAACTGGTGGATGTCGGGCTCGCGGCGAAGGTCGCTTCGGCCGGTTCCACCAGGCTGTCCGCCGCGAGCCGAGCGCGCGACGCCGCTGATTCCCCCGCGGCACGACTGTCAGGTGTGAATCCGCACCGCGGCGGCGGCGGCGAACCGTACGGCGGGGAGACGACGCTGGCCACGGTGCCACGAACGCCCCGGGGCACGGCAGGCGCCGACGGCAGCTCCAGCCGGTGGACGGGCGGCTCTTCGGTCCCACGATTGCGACACAGCCCCCGGGCTTGTGGAGGCTCGCGTTGTCCACGCCCGGCACGGGCTGGCGAACAAAGGCTGTCAGGTGGGAAACCGGATCGGATCGGACGCTCTGGTTACATAAGGGGAGCTCGCTGCTCTGTTGAGGGCACAGCACGGCCACTGCGAATCAATGGCTTCTACGCGGCATGACAATACGCGGCGCAAAGCGTCAGCACTTTCCACGCACGGTTCTGGATTTTTTCGTATCGCCTTGGAACGTCTGGCGCGTTCGAACACACTTGACACCAGCAGCCCGTGCGCTGAGGCGGACCAACGCTGGAAGCAGCCCGTGGCGAATGCAACGGGGCTCACACCCAGCAGCCGCCCAGCCGCAGTGTAGCAACCAGGGAGACGGCAGGTCTCTTCTTCCCAGCCATAAGTGTGATGGAGTGGCATCATGGGGGTGAAAGTGAAAGATTGCGTCTCGACATCGCCTCGCGCGGATCAGTTCTATAACCCCCTTCGATCAGCGCAGTGATTCGGTTCCCACAAGGCGTTGCCTTTCTCTGGCGCGGATAGCGCATGCGGCTCTCCGTAACTCAGATAGATCGCCATCGCGAATTCTTGACTAATGGCTGGCACCACAGGTGTCTGGAGTCGTATTCCAGCCTTCTGCATGGCGACTGGCTGCACATTTGTCTAACTCTGCCCTTAGCTCGTCTTTTAACTTGATCATGCGGGTCCGAAGGCGGCGGTGGGTGGAGAAGGGAGCCCACCCGCAGCTGCTTTATAAGATGGCTACACCTGACTGCTGCATGGGAGCGAGTGACCTTGAATATGTTCGCCACACCCAGCCCAGTCACAGGCCAGGGGGCCCATCACTGAGATAGTCTTGACCTGTTGGAAGTGTTAGGGATAAGTGAGGGATGTTAATGACAGAGGAATACGGCGATTGTTTGGAGGTCTTATCACCTTTCAATGAAACAATAACAAATTTGGACACACCTAGACTTAACCGCAAAACATGGAGGAGACTACGACTGAACAGTTGCAAGCCAATTATTATTTTTATAAGGCTAAGGTGGTGCAAAGTTCGTAAACGACTGCAGAGTTTTTGCGTGGGCTTAAAAGAACTCGCACGTTTTCCCAAAACTCGACCTAGATAACGTCTGCAAGATGTACTACGTACAGACGAATATCGGCCACTAAGGGTGTGCAGATATTTGAAGGATTTTGTGTGTACAGTGGAAGTATGGACGTACGCAATGCTCAGTTTGACGAGACAATTGTGTGCATATGATGTACGTTACCCAGACCAGTGTCAATGATCGCATGTTGAGGGTTTTTGGCTGGTTAAAATCAACGCTTGGAACACGGAGCACGACAATCAGCAGTTTAGCCTCAAAGACGGGTAGGGAACCGAAATAAACGTATAATAATCCTTTCCCTTGCAGTTTTCAACAAGCTCTTTGAAGTTCAGACAGGCTGTTTTTTTTCTTGTATTGCAACGGAAGCATTTCAGTGGCGAAAACATGAAGAAATACAGCCACGAATATCTATTTCATGCGGCTTAAAATGAGTGTTTCACATTTGAAGATATTTAAGCAAGCGTCAGCCGTGATGAAACAAGCTCACTTGTAACTATTGTTATACTTTTAAGTATAAAAGATTGCTCTAGACAGCACAATCCTTTGTTGGCTAAATATGCTCCTCAATGCGTGAGGGTTTGATTACGTCATCGTAACTCGCCCAACACTGATTAAGAGCCAATTATATCTGGAAATCGCGCTCATGAACGCCAGACATGAACGCCTTCGATGATTATGTTTTGCTCGGCCTTGATCGCTGCACGGCTTGCAGAATGGCGGGATTGGCAGAAATGTCAGGAATGGCGTTATTATAACGTCATAATTACCAAGGTGACTTTGAAATGCTCTACCTGATATACCTTTCTTCATTTTTGAGGGCGTGTAGCTCAGAAACTACAGGGGTTTAGGTGTTCATAAAGGCACAATTGTGAACAGCATCTAAAGTCCTTCAAGGTGGACCCTTTCAGTTCAAAACCCTTATAAATGTGGAACACTCCCTTTAAGACAAACTGACTGACACGTAGGCCTCCCGCGCTTAGTGCCATCATGTGCGTATAATTTACGTAAGATATGTGCATAGACGTACATATATGTATGTTTTTGCCAGGCGACATGAGCTCATGAACCTGGGCAGTATCCAATTATTTCTGCAATAGTTCTCAATCAATCAATCATTTTACACCCGCTTTTGAATTTTGGTAATTTGACTCTGATTTTGATTGAGACGTCTCGCTTGTGGAAGCGTCAAACAACCAAGATGCATGATCACTACTTAGCCACCTTTTACAACGCCTCATATCACGTAGGACTGCCTCATAGACTTCGCCGTATCCAAAGCCATCAGTTAGGCGTGCTACGCAAGGCAGTGCATTCCGTAACTGATGGAACTGATTGCTCAAAACCGGCTAGTACCTGACTTGATTCACATTACGCGGAATGCGCCACTCTACAAATTGGCCACCAGGCATTGCACAGGTCAAGACGGAGCCAAGATGGCGGCTGGTGGTCTCAGGGCAGTCCAAGAGATTTCTGATTGGGCAACCACGATTAAGTGGTGGATGTTTTGCCTCAGCGTCAGTAACGCAGGACTCGGAAGAAGATGAGAGTCTGTTCCCTTAACGTGTTGACTTATAACATGCATGCGTTAAATATGTACGTATTCAGTGCATTCACATTACATTGCTTGTTTCATTCGATTCACATATGCATGAATTCAATGCATATCTGAATCGAAGCATGTTTAACCAAGTGCGTTAGACGACCGCAATAGCGGTGTACGGCCTGAGCGGGCATTGATGAGCTGACAGAGTTCTGCCCGGATATCGTGTCTCATCAAAATTTCTCAATTAAGGTGCTCAAGACCTAATGTCTTGCTTGCTGAGAGCTGTCATTAATATTACTGATGGACGAGGTAAGACCAACGCTTGCAATGCACCCGTACTTTAGCGGGGAGCCCGCCCGGAATAAGGTTAATTGCTTGAGACGGAAGTCACTGAAAAGCTGAACGTAACTTACAGAGCCTTGGCATGAAGAGCCCGCTAATGGCAGGTCCTTTAAGGCTGCACCATGCGGTCCACGTTAAAGGCTGCCAAACATTAGTTTTAATCTTTGTGGGGTCAAGCGTGGCTGAAGCTGGCCTTCATGGTTCTTCTGAGGCCTCCCAGGTCGTTAAACGTATCAAGATGCAATTTATGGGGAGCTTAATTTGACATATGTTTACCACACACGCGAAAACTTAAAGCATGCATGGACGACGACACCGCTGCGAAAGTCTCCCAACATGATCCGAAATATTTCTTTAAGACTTGACCTGCTGCAGCTTGGAATGACACACCAGAATGAACTCAAGCCCGTCTGGTTCAGCATATCATGTATTTCATACAAAACTTGCGCTTATTTGGATCATTTGAGCAGATTTTCCCTAACCTCGAATATCCTGACAGAAAGTCATGACCATTGATGGCTTGTATGTTGTAGCCACTTAACACGTTTGAAATCACTGGAGGCAAAAAGCTCTGGTGCGCACGAAGTCAGAAACGCCTGAAGGAGGGAGCATTTTTTACCTTTTGGCCATGCAGAGGTATGGGAGCTTCTGGGAGACCTTCCATTGATATTTTACATGCCAGGAATTTAACGCTCGCCCGGGCGGCCCATCAAATACCATTCGATAGGGTGGGAGGTCAATCGAACCCCTGAGATCTCAAAAACTAAGAGAGCTAGAAACGACAAATTTGCATACAACAGTATGTGAAATCACCTATGCCAAAATTGTATGCTTTAGGTCATGACCGGCGGGTCAAATAAGGTCAAAGTAGGTCAAAATCCAGATTGGGGTCCAAAGTGCCCACAGACCTTCTCATGCAACCACCTTGCACCTAGATACCTGTTCTAAGCAAAAGATCACCGATTTCAGCTCAGGGTCAGTGACCTTTTTTGACCTATAGAAGGTCGAGGTAACCAATAACCCAATGGTATGTCTATTCTGGCATTGAATTAAGCGCCAGGCATTACGCCGGATGGCATGTTTCTGGAAACAAATTGTTTACCTCGGTCGTTTTAGATCAGTTAACTGGGGCATTCCACAAGTCGACAGCGCTCTACAACCAACTCATGCCTCGACTTCCGATTAAATTTGATCGCACGAGTTGACATCACTGCTGAAGTCGCCTGTGAGCTTTCTGAATCTCTTAGTTGCATCGTTTCGGAGTTATGGCCTTAGGGAGTTTCGAGTAACGTGGTCGCAAGGCTTCCTTCCGTGGTGTTTTTTTACTTGCTTGAAAAGTAATTTGGCCAACCGATACTATAACATGATCAGATTTTTTATATAAAAAATTGTCATGCCATTCTTGAAGACGTCTTTGAAAAAAACAATGATCTGGACATTAAGAACTTTTCAAACACACGAAAAACAATTTTCCCACGTGACATGGATCTTGTCTCACTTACATGTGAAAGAGCATAGTTTGGTCACCAGATTAACAAAATATAAAGGTGGTTTCCCACTTCGAAAGACATAGTCCATGCACCGGTGAATCATGCGT